TCTCTTCAGCACTGAAATTAGGATATCAGTGAAGTATTCCTGTGGTCAGACTCAATGATCGCATTAGCCTGGATTGCCACATCGCCTCATTCACTCAAAACGTTTGTAGGCAATAGAGTAACTAAAATACAAAATCTCACGGAAAACTTTATTTGGAGACATGTTTTCCTCAAAGGACAATCCTGGCTGGATTTAATTTCTCGAGGTCTGAATCCAGAAGAAATAGCATCAAATAACATGTGGTGGCACGGACCATCATTTCTATTTAAGGAAGTTGTGTGTATCTATGATTAAGACATTTGTGAGCCCCTGCAGATGACCAATATTTAACTGAACTGCAAAACTCCTGTGACTACGACATTTAGCTATGTCAACAAGTAACGTGATATGCTTAAATGAACTTATAAACAGGACTAATAATTATAAGAAACTCATTAGAATTTTAAGTTTTATTTTTAGATTTATTTACAATGCAAAAAAAACAAAAAAAAAAAAAAAAAAAAAAAAAAAAAAAAAAAAAAAGAAAAAAAAAAAAAAAAAAAAAAAAAAAAAAAAAAAAAAAAAAAAAAAAAAAAAAATAAAAAAAAACAAAAATAAAAAAAAAACGTCAGGGTCCCCTGGATTTAGAAGAACACGTCGAAGGCTCGAGATACCCTCATTCGAGATTCGCAGGTACAGTATTTTCCTGAAGAGCTCTCGGCTCTAGGTCTACCAGTCTCCAACAAGAGTAAGTTAAAATCTCTTAATCCCTTCTTGGATAAGAAAGGTTTAATACGTGTAGGAGGCCGTTTAAGTAGCTCCAACTTGAATTACAATCAAAAATATCCCATCATCCTCCCCCCAGACAGGTAGATTCACGAAGCTCATAATGGAATACTTCCACAAAAGAGATTTACATGTAGGGCCGCAGTCTCTTTTACATAGTGTATGTCAACAGTTTTGGCCTATCAATGGCCGCAACTTAGCCAGAAAGGTAGTTCATGAATGCCTAACTTGCTTTAAAATGCATCCCACTGCAGTGACTCAATTAATGGGTAATCTTCCGTCTGAAAGAGTATCACCAAGCCCGCCATTTACCAATACGGGCATTGACCTTTGCGGTCCTTTTCAAATCAAATACAAGGGGCAGAGAAAAGGGCATTTTGCAAAGGATTTATATTTGTATTTTTGTCTGTCTTGCTACTAAAGCTGTTCATTTCGAATTTCTGACAGACCTTACTTCTGAGTCTTTGATTGCTGGCTTAAAAAGATTTTTTGCCCGACGGGGTAAGAGTTCAGCAATTTTTTCAGACAATGCAACGAATTTTGTAGGTGCACGTTCTGAATTACAACGGTTGGAAAAGTTGGTAACACAATCAGAATTTGGAGTAGCTAGCTATTTAGCTTCAGAAGGCATTGTTTGGAAGTTTCTTCCACCTAGAGCCCCTAATTTTGGAGGTCTCTGGGAGGCCGGCGTTAAATCGTTTAAACACCATCTGAAACGAACTGTTGGTAATGTTAAGCTTACACTAGAAGAGTTTCTGACTGTTTCTATTCAAATAGAGGGAATTCTGAATTCACGTCTTTTAACTCCATTATCCTCTGAAGTTACAGATTATGAAGTCCTCACTCCTGGGCATTTTCTGATTGGACGCCCATTAAATGCCATGGCAGAACCTGATGTATTACATCTAAAAGAAAATAGACTGTCTCGTTGGCAAAAAACTACTAAGATGGTTCAGTCAATTTGGAAAAGGTGGCATCGAGACTACCTTAACCACTTTGCAGCAGCGCAATAAATGGCAGTTTGCCAAGACAAACGTAAACCCTGGCGCCCTTGCTTTACTCAAGGAAGATAATCTGCCTCCTTGTAAATGGGCTACATGTCGTATACAGGAAGTTATAACCGGACCTGATGGAAAGGTCAGAGTAGTTATAGTTAGAACTCCTACCGGCACATTCAAAAGGTGCATATCCAAAATATGTCTGCTACCTATTGAATAATAATACCTATGTTTATTTGATGAACCTCATTAATGTAGAATCATATTATATTAGATATTATCAATTTTGTAACTGTATAAATGTTTATGCTATTTTATTCTATTATATCCCAGAATTCACTATGTCGTAATGGATATTCTCATTTTAATAGTATTATATTATACTTTATTATGTTATAAGTCTTATGTTGTATTGAAATATAAATATTTCAACGCGGGGCGGGATGTTCCGTCCCATCCTATTGTTGTAACATTCATCTCACTAGAGGGTGCTGCGACGTCCCCGCTTTTGACAGATAGAACTTCTGTAGACCGCCAAGAGAGCGGTTGTTCTTTTTGGGCACCTATGCCATCTCTTTGTAATAGCCATCAGCGCTAGCAAGAGCGTTCAGCTCTGATCCTTCAGGCCCCTGTGCCTTTCTATTGATTAATAAAACTTTATGATTGATTACAGTCCATTATTCTTTCGACGGATCTCACTCTCTAACAATGATCATTTCACCAATCATTGGATGAATAAGTTAGATAGATCCATTTTGCATACCATTTCCCTTGTCCCCTTTTTGTAAAATTTGCAGATCTTCACATATTTTTTGCAACTCATAATTTTTTGTTTTTCCATAAAAACTGCAGAAAACTGCCAGTAGTTCAGGGGAGGGCAGATATCTATGTATCTATGGCAGTTTTAGACCTTTCCCCATGGATGCATTAGTGTTTCCTAATAGCAGTGCTTTAAGTTATAGACTAATACAATACAAACCACCTGGATTCTTTATAGAAAACCTGTTCTATACATAAATATACAGGTTATATGATAAGGTTTCTTATTACACACAATTTGGGAACATTCCACAGTTATGTCAATAGGGATGTTGACATGTAAACTCTTGCTTAAATAACAAGAAGCTTAATTTGGAGCATGTTACTTTTAAATTGCTTTTTTAATTAACAATCAACAGCTTACTCTGGTTAGCATAAGTCTGCGTGCAACATTTCTTACTCAGACACAGTGGGTGAACTGAAAACCTTTTTTTAATTAATCTTTACCTTATACAGTTCATAACATTTTAAACTGCAAACTGGTAATACCTTGCATTTATCTCAGACACTCCAGTCCCTTAAAGACTTTATATTTCCTGAAATCACAGAAGTCAAATTCTCACAGCGCTGAATGAATAAATAAAATGGCACACGTATAAAAATTTCTCAATTACAATTTAACCTCCCTCATTCAATAATTACCTCACATAAAATAACTAATTTTTACAGGCCCTGCATTCATTTTTTTAAAGGTTTCACAATTTTGTCTATGTACGTTAGTCATTTGTTTAAATTAAATATCAGAATAATACAGTACATTTACTCAGAAATCCATTCTGCCTTAAATTTCTTACTCACATTTTCAAGTATCTAATGATGTATCACAACCTATAATAGCAACAAACACTCATATACAGGGAAGAAAATCTTAAATACTTACTATATTTTCTACAGCTTAATTTTTTTATAAACTTTTGTGCACTATGGAAGTTTCACACGCACAGCCATAGGCTAGGGCTTCTAGCGACCCCCTCTTATTTGCGGAGAATGGAAAAAAATTCTTAACATCAATTTGCCCCCCCTGGGTGCTGCACCCAGAGACAGATGTTTCTCCTTGCTCCCCCTAGCCATGCCAAAGTTTACACAACAGTTTAACAGTCACAACTGTCATAGTCATAAGGTGCAAAAGTCATTGGCTTTGTACATACCCATGGAACAAGATCTAAGCCATAGCCAAAACTTGCATGTGCCATGAATGTGCGGCAGCAAAATCACTGACCGAATGTCAGTTCATGTTCCTTTTCCTTGATTAGTCAATTCTTATAACAGGTAGGCATAAATTTGAATATTTACACCAGATAATTAAAAATGTTATAACAGTTTCCATGGCAATGGATCTGATTGCATAGCAATCAATTTTGGTCTACTCCAATTGTGACTATAAAGTCCTTGTGCAAATGCTCCCCAAAGAAGCCATATAATCATGAAACAATAAATATAGCAATTTAACTAATTTAATATAAATATAACTCGAAACACATATAATCTGGAACTTCTGCAGCATTTTAATTAGGAAAATGCAAACGTTTCTTTACGAACTGTTCATATTATTTCTAGAAATTATTTGATCAATGCTGTGCACCTAATCTTAATATTTGGACAGCATCCCTCAATGCAAGCGAACTTACCAATGAAAATTTAAAATTAGGCAGAAAAGCAACCTTAGTTTAGTGTAGATATTTTCAGGGAATATTTCAAATAAAAAAAATAAAAAAAAAAAAAAAAAAAAAATTTTGGGGGGGATCCTTAGAAGTGGGACTTGTATCTTATACTTTTAAAATATAGTTAATGAAAATGAATATCAAACTAAAGTTACTTTTTTGCATAACTTTAAATAGCTGCCTAAAATAAAATGAAGATAAGGCGACTTCATACTTTACCTGTACAGGTGACATCTCTCGGTAACTTGAAAAATTTTATAATGCCTTTTAAACTTACCTGGCAATGTTACTTCAGTTTTTTTAAGAAAATTCTGTAATATTTTGATCTTATTAACCAAACTGTTCATCACAATAAAGAATGTATTTTCCATACTTTCATATACAAAAGAGTGGAACTGCAGCAATTTGATAATAATATCTGAATGATATCATTAACTGCAATCACATTAAGGAGCAACTACTGTATTTCTTTAATCAAGTATTAATTCTCAAGTACTTTATTGAAGTTATATAAATTTGTTTTCAATATTAACAATCACTGTTAATCTAATATTTCAAGCACTTTAATTAAACTTATTAACAATAATTTTCCAACTGATGGTCTCCTAATGTGAAACCAAAGCACAAACTATCAGATTAGAATGCTTTTTAAATAAGCTTTTATTTTTTTATATAGCTAAACAAATAATTTTAAAGTTAATTATACAAAAAACAGTTACTTTAAAAGGGAAAAAAGAATTCAAGATACAGAATTCACCTTTATTCCAAAAGTAAAGATTGTTATCACAAGCTTGGAAACAAGAGCTAATGACAATGTTGCCAATGATTCATATACTCCTCTGTTAGCCTCAGCCATCTCAACTGGATCATTTACCTTAGTGAAATTCCGATTATAATCACTGAAAATACATAATTTTAAAGTTAATAAATAACTACAACACATCATTAAAACAATGAGACAATATCTAAAAAAAATTCAGTAAGCATACCAATTACATTTTCTGAAAATTATCCCTTAATAAAAAAGTGCTTAATGTATACTCAAAGACTTTATGATCAGAGTAAAGGATAGAAAATGAAAGTACAGAGTTAACTAGGAAATCTGGTATCATATCCAGATTTCTTACCTGCTATATAAAATTAAATAAGGTAAGGAAGGAGAAAATAAAAAGCATTCTGAAACTTGAACTCAACCTTTAATTTAAACATACAGAATACATGACAAACTTAGTAATAAAATTTATAAAATCAAAAATAAGAAAAACAATCCAATGTATATTTAATTAGAACAAGCAATTATTTTGCTGATATTAAGTCTGCTTTCAAAGAATAAGGATCTTCAAAATTCTGAACTATTCCATGAAATATGTCTAATAAGCTCATGCATGCCAGTTCATATGCTGCAAAATATGCTCAAAATTAAATGTTATTCAAATGATTTACAATTAATGGTATTTAAACAATTCAGAATTTCACTCCTCATTTGTTCTTTTTCTATATGCTTTTAATGCACTTTGTAATTCACATCTGCATATAAGAACAGAAGTAATGATATTTTCAAAAATTAGTTTATAAACAACAGATTTCATATCAAGTAAAATAACGTACAATTAAAATTGGAAACTTACCATAGAGGTGACACATTGGCAATGCCACACTGACTGAATAACAGTTTGATCAAATCACTCATATTCATTCGAGTGTATTTGTTGGGAAAATTTATGACAGCACTGATAAGAGTTATCACAAGCACCTAGGAAAGAAAGAACGTTTTCATCATGGATACAAAACATACATGTTCCATTATGAAAAAGTTTCAAGACAAATTTAAAGTATAAAATTTGGGAGTGATTGCAACTTCATTCCAAAAATTATAAAAACTATAGTGGAACATCAAAATCCGGCATCTCAAACAATTCACAATATTAATACGGTACATACATACACTATTTCCAAACAATTTAATTATGAAGCAAAAAGTATATAAAATTTAATTCATGTTTCACTAAATCATTCCATAAAATTATTCACCTTTCTGGTTTCTGAACAAAAATTATTCCTAAGTCTAGCTTGCTTTAATGGGGAGGTTCAACAACTGGGAATTGCTACATATTAATTTTTCTTTGCTAAAGTTGCAGTAAGATTAGCATGACATTTTGTTGTAACAAATTACTTTTTACTTAATCCTTAAAGTGTAGCATGGAGCCTGAAGTATCATACTAAGTAGGTGATGGATATGAGGAACTTCAAGAACAGTGCATAGAATGTAAAGAATTTTAATTTATCCAGCTATTCATTAATTTTTTCTTAAATTCCTTAACAATAAGGCCTTCAGAGATATTTTCTGACTAAAAAATTTCCTACGTATTTTTGTTTAATGAGAATAAATACTTCATGGACTGCCAGCATCTAGCATTTCTTAAATTGTTGGCTGTGACCCCAAATGAAACGTTGCAAAATGCTATAAGGGTTGCAAAAATGTAATTCAGATACATAACATTAAGGAAACATTAGTCCCAATTCCTTCAATATAATTAATTATATTATATTTTTGGTACAGTGCAGTTTGAAAATTTTAATATTAGTCAAATTAAACTGTAAATTTTATTTACATGTTGAAAAATACCACTAAGCTCTAATCATAATGATATAATATTGCAGTTTCAGCATACAAGTTATTCCAGAATCAAAATATGCCATGAATGCACATATACTATCCCATGCCAGACAGGTGTTCACAGAATAAGGCTGGCACTGCTGCAACTGGTGTATTGGTAACACTTTTCCAGTATAGCAATTTGTTTTGGTTTCAGTGTGTACATCACAAAAACAATAGAATACTGACTTTTACTTGACTAAGGATGGCATTCCTTTAAATCATTATTAAAACAGATGCTATTTTATTCATGTTTTCAGGATCAAGTATTTTTTTACCAATAAATAAATAGCTGAACTTGAGTAATAAAGGTATTGACACAGATGATACTGCCACAAAATCTCAAGCAGGATCTAGTGATAAAAAAAAAGAAGCCTTTAGGATGTGAAAAAGAAAATATGATGACACACCCAATTTGGCTTTACTTTCACTGACAGTGATTTGCAAGAGCATTTTGGCTACGGAGAGTATGAAACCACCAAAATTAAAAAGGCATCTTGAATGCCAGCAACCTTTGTATGCCAGAAAACTAAAAGAACACTTTGACTGTTAAAAATCTTCAAATAAAGATAAACAATACTTTAAGAAATTTATGAGTGTTAGTCAAAAATATTTACTTGCATCATGCAAAGTTTCATATCTAACTGCTAAAATAAAAAGGTTACACACCACTAAAGAAAATCTTGCAGTACCTGCTGCAATTGAAATGGTATAAATATTTCACATATGCAAATAGGGTGGTGAAACTTGAAAATGTCCTGTGATTTCTCCAGAGACTGTAGAAGCAGAAAAATTGAACAATGCGCATCATGCTGCTGACAAAATCATAAACTTTATTAAAATCTGGGCCCTTCGCAGTAGCTCATTTTCAAATCTCCATAAACATGTGGACTCATAATACAAAGATTTATTATTACATGCATAAATAACATGGATGTCTAAGTCTGTGAAGTTTAAAATTATTTTTCATTAAAAGACAAAATTAAAGAAACGAAAATCTGATTTTCTTGCTTCTTTCAAAATGACATAAAGATTGGCTATAACGAAATAATCTTATTTCTTCAAGGAAATATAACAATATATTTACTTTGCATGATAAAACTAAAAGTTTTATTAAAAACATCAAAACTTAGATGAACAGGGTGGAAAATGATTCGTTCAAAATGTTTTTGACTATTAACGGTTTGACAACTAAAAAAATAATTGTAAAACTACTTGCAAAAGTCATAAATCAGTGATATCAAACTCACGATTTGTAAGCCATATGCGGTTTGATGAAGCAATTTTTTGCAACTTGCAAAGATATTTCAATTAAGTAATTTGTTACACAGATTTCAGGAGTTCAGTTATTTGAACTTTAAATTTATACTGTTCTCATTTCCGCTAAAAGCGATCATGAATAACACACCAGAAAATCCCTAAATAGAACTAATTAATTTTAAATTAGATATAAATCTTATTTAAAAATACAGATTTATGAACTTTTACTTGCACTTGTCCAAAAAATAAATAAGCCCAGTTATAAATTTTTACACTAACAACAAGCGCTTTTTTTGGGGAATACATTTATATGTGAACAGATTTTTTTCACAGTGAATTATAAATAACAAAAGAAACTGATTGCTCAATGAGCATCTAGAATATCTGATGAAGGTAATTCCATTCCAGGGCCACAAATTTTATCAGAACTGAAATGCCCTCAAGTGTCAAGCTGCTGTAATAAGAAATAAAGAAGTTTATAATTATTTATATGCAAATGCGTATTTCTAATTATGCATCGAAGAAAAATTTAATCAGAGGAGACTACATTGTTTTCTCACATTTGAGAAAATTTTCTCTGAAGACTTAAAAAACTTTCATAATTTGTTCATTTTTAATTTAAGGTTATTTACTTAGTGATTAATTTGGCCTGTTAGAATTATTTGAAAGAAATGTCAGTTTGAAAATTTGATATTCAGCTGTCAATATAATTGAATTACTAAGTATAACCAACAAAAATGTCTTACAGGTATCAATCAAACTTTAGATTTCACATTAGAAATAGATATAAACTTGAATTTTCTCTTTTGTGATATTATTATTATTGTTTATGTATGTTAATAAAGATTTAATAAGTGACATTTAAAATTTACTTAGATTGTTTTAAATTTTGTTAATAACATTTTTCACTCCATTAAAAAAAAATTCTGCCCCATCAGCTGTTCTCAGATTGTGCATTTGAGGCAACAGTTATGTATGAATCACTTAAACCCCTTGATGTGCAGTGGTCGTGCAATGAAACCACCAAATTTTTGAATTGTTTTGCAGAAAGACCAATTGATTACTTATCTTTTAACTCTTAATAACAAAAAATTACTGCAGATTTGTATATTTTTTAGGTCTTAGTACTTAAAATTAGATACCTTTTAAAACTTGTTTCCAATGAGATAACATTCTTTTTTAATATAAACAACTTTAAATTTCAAAAGTTACTCATTGCACATCATCATTTCTATCATAAACAATAAAAATATAGTAATAATTTAACTGCATATACGTTGTGTATTTTTTAAGTAAGGGTCATTTTGTTGTATACTTTAATAGGTGGCATGTGTGCTGCAATGAGTGCTTGCATCATGTCCTGGCATCCCTTTTAAACAACTGTTCTCAGTTGCAGCTGGGTAGGTAACCTGTACGGTCTGTTCTGTGTCTTTAAACTGTTCAAGATTATTGAATCATCCACCCCATGCACGGTATGATCAGTGACACATTTTTTATCGGCAGGCAACCTGTCTGCTGCAGGCATACACCAGCAGATTTGTGAAGTTTATGGTGCTACAGTGATGAGTGAAGAGAAAGTGCGTAAGTGGGTCAGAGACTTTAAAGCTGGCCACAGATGATTCCCACTCTTGTTGCCTATCTGTGATCACAAACAATATGGTGGCTTCAGCTGAAGAAAAAAATTCTTGAGAACAGATGCTTCGCCACAAGCACTGTTTCAAATGAATTTCCTGAAGTGTCTAATTCAGTGCTGTAGAAGATTGTTTCTGAAAAGTTAAGGTTTAAGAAACTGTGCTCATGTTGAGTCCCTGAACTCCTACCAGAGAATCACAGAAACAAAAGATTAGAGTGTTCACTGATTTTTTTTTACTCATTATAACAAAGAATGTGATGCTATGTTGAGTCAGGTCGTAACATGAGAAGAAATGTGGCTTTCAAATATCACGCCTGAATAGACACAACAGTACATAGAGTGGAGACACACACACTCTCCTGTAAGGGTCAAGGCCAAACAGAGTCTGTTCCTCTGCAAGATTATGGCATCCGTGTTCTGGTATAGGCATGGTGTTTTGTTGGCCAACTTCATGAAAAGCGTAAGCACTAAAAATATGATAGCTTATGTTCAAATCCTGCAAAAGCTACGCAGATGCCACATGCTGACAGAGGGAATTTTGCTACTCTGTCACAATGCAAAGCCTCACACTGCAGCTCAGATCTTGGACTCTTTTGGTTGGGAAGTTTTGGACTACACCCCCTTGCAACTCGGTCCTTCCGCTGAATGTTTTCCATCTTTCCTTCTATCTCAAACATCATTTTGGCAGCAACCACTACAATGATGACAAAGATCTGGAAACGGCCCTGTCCTCTTGTTTATCGGAGGCAACAAGTTCCTATGAAGACGGTATTCAAAATATAGTTCTAAGGTATGGTTAGTGTTTAAACAAACTTGGCAACTATGTTGAAAAATAGAGAAACACATGCAGAATCTCAAAATAAATTTGGTTTTTGAAAATTTTCTTTCATTTGGTTTTTATTTTCAAATGGCCCTTACTTAAAAAACACCTCTCGTATAAACAACCTGTATATATTTATGGCATTTGTTTTGTCGTTTCAGGGCACGAACAATGACTCACTATAGCATTGTGTCACAATGCTCTAGCAGAGGCTCAGTGGTCGTGTCCTGAAACCACTGCTCTTGACAGTTTATTTTTACCTGGAAATAGCTAAGGGGCTCTGAAACCACAGTGTTATTTTATTACTAAACAATGCATACACCTGCCCAGTGAAAATGTCTTTTATTTCCAAATTTTTTTCGAGCTAAATGCACTTGCTTCTTTTGCTTAGTGATTTTATAAATTATTTCGTGCAATTTAAATATAATGTTGATATATTTTGCTATAATTAAAAATAGAAATGAATAAAAGTTTTACTTAATTTAAAATATTTTATAAATGTTTTGGGACAAAATACGAATGGAAACAAAGGTTCATACCAAAGCCAAAAAGACAAAGCCCCCCCACCTTATTAATAAAAAACCCCACAAACTTCATGTGCCACTCGAAAAGAGACTAAAGAATGCTCGACCTATGCCAGTAAAATGCAAATCACTGTGGTGTACATTTTTGTAGCATAACGGGGAAATTTCATAAGACACATGTACAAAATGTGCATGTACCAAAAAGAAAAAACATGTCTTGAACAGTTTCACAAAATCTTTGTCCCTTGACATTTAAAAAAAATTGCTGACCTTTTTTTAATCCTTTCCTTATCGAGATTTTTTTTTTATCCATTTATCCAAAAGTCTTTATTACGTATGTTCTTATGTTTTCACTGCTATAGAAAATTTATATAAATGTTTATTTTTCCCCCTGACAATTTACTTTGTAAAATAACGTAATAAATTTACATATAATACAATTCTTAAATACATTTTTTTTTTCAATTTGCAAATTTCATCGTTTATTGGAAATGTGCATAGTAAGATGTAAGTTCCCCCCCCTCATTACCTCAGTAAGTTTCAAAGTCCTAGATGTGCACTAGTTCCACAGTGCCGCCACCACCCACTGATCAATGGGCAAGAGTAGATTTTTTTTAACCCTCCAAGCATTACGGGTTTAGCCCTGAAATTTTGAAGTTCCTCAAAATGTCATGAATGAGTGGTATTTTCTTGATTTTAATTAAAAAATGACTGTCTCATTTTTTTACCTTGATTCCTTTTCTTCCAATATACATCCAAACCGAAATCAGATACACTAAAAGCTAGCCGAAATTTTCATGCATAACAAATATAGAAGGCAGCCTTCTATACGGAATTTTCTGGCCGTAACTCTGAGAGGGTTAATTCATATATTATTTGTTTCTAGGCTCCTAGTATTTAATTTCTAAAGTTTTTTTAATTAAAACATAAAAAAATAATATCGCACACATCAAAAGGTTAACAGCTCTAGAAACACAGCTTTTCAAATATGTTATATCGAATTTTGAATTCAAAAGCTTATCATGGATTAAAAAATAATTTTTGATTGATATTAAGACTAATTTACCAGTCATACAATGTCCAACAGGAATTTGTTGAGTAGAGTTTTTGATTCAAAATTTGAGTTTTACAAAAACTCTTGACTGAATTCTGGATCAAAGTTAGAATAAAACTTCCCATAATTTCTGTAACGGCATTAAATGCTTTGCCACTCAGTGCTACATACTTACACGAAATGACTTTTCCAGCTTTAAGGCTTATTAAATTTAAAAAACATACAATTGTGAAAAAAATCATGCAGCAGTGTCTAATACTGCACCAAAGTTTAAGTTCTTACGCCGAAAAAAAACAAGCACATGTGTCTCATTATTTTATTCTGTGATTTTCTTTCATTAATTTTTATATACTTGAAAGAAAATCTAAACCTACTTCTTTTCATATGCATACAGAAATAAATTATATATGGGAAAATATTTATTTTTTTACCTTTATTTGATACTTAATATTCAGGACCACAAAAAAGATTTTGGATGATAAAAAGGGCTAATTTATAATAATATCACACATATAATTAAATTCACTTTGAACACTGAATCTATGAAAACTAGTTTAAAAAATTTAATCAGTTTTGTTGGTGCAGGAGAAGTATTTCTGTTTTCTATCTTTCCTCAGCCTGAATACTTCAGCCTAAATGTTTAGAATATCAGTTTTTACTACTGCTGTAGCAGGAGAGGAGTTTACAAGTCTTAGATTTATGTAATCTCAGAATAAATTACAATCTTTAAACAAAATTTTTAAGACAAAATTTAAGAAAAACAATGAGACTGCGTTCCAAAATTTACATTTTTCCAACATCCCGACTTGGACATAATACACTTGGATCACTACCTACACTTGGATCATAATTTCCCTTGAAAATTTAATATTGTCTATGTATCTTTGCAGCTGTAAAGCTTTAGAATTAACATTTATCACAAATTCCACACACATGCACAAAAACTATTTTTCTGCTATGCTATGAAATAAATAATAAACATGATTTCTTAGCAAGCAACAAAAATATATGGGATATTTTTTCCATTTCCAATTTCTAATGAAGGTACACCAAAAATAAAGTAAGTCATAAGAGTTACAGTTAAACTATCAAAAGAATAATATTAACTTAACAATATGCCAGTGTATATAAAGATTAAATGAATAAATAATTTAAAAACTTTTTTTTTTTTTTTTTTTATTTTTTTGGTTGCTGTTCTTAAAACCTACCACAAATTAAAACACAAAACACATATAAACTAAATATTCTAACAAGAAATGCTCTTCATTACTTCAGCACATAAAACATGTAACACTTTTAAAAAGATTTTCTTCTTCCTAGCAAAGCAATAAAAATCACTAGTATCTAACTTTCAAGAGTAAAATTTAGATTTACTTTTGAGAAAAAAAAAGTTTGAGCAAAAGGTTTCTTTGCAATTTATGAATAAATAGTGTTGAACCCATCAACAGAATAAAGTGCAATGGACTAATTATGGACTAATTATGGACAATGGACAATGCACTAGGATTCCTGACTTTGGGGAAACACATGGTTATATATGGGATACATGGTTATATAACTTTCTTGTACTTCATGTTACAAAATCGGAAAATAAAAAAATAAAAATCAATGAATATAATAGCCCATTTAATGAGAGAAAAAAAATGCAAGATGAAATACTACTGCTCACAACTTTAGCTCAGCCACATCATAAGAATAAAAATTAATCAGAGATGGAAGACAAAGCAAGTAAATATGTTACACATAAAATTTCATCTTCACATGGGATGTAGCACAAAACAGGTTTATTAATTTGTTTAAGAAAGCGTACCTCTGAAATAGGATACTGCCCAAGCTTTGATTCTTTCCGAAATTTGCACCATCTGATATTTCCTTTAATGAATATTGAACCAACAATACCCTGTATTGAAAAACACAAGTTTAATTATAAAATATTTAGATGTACATATATGACTAAGTATACTTATAGGCTCGAAAATTCCAAAATGTAACAGCAATAAAGCTGCTAAAAATTTTTTACTGATAGATTACTAAAATAAGTTAACACTTTAGATAATCATATTAATAATAATAAAAATGTTAACAGCTGAAAGCTTTCTGAAACTGTAAAGAATGTTGAGTGTAACAAAATTTTATTCAGAGCCGTTCATCAGTACATCTTTAACACTTTTTGTCTGTACATCATATGGGCAACCCTTTTATGTAAAGACGGATTTGCCTGTCTGTGGTATGGGCATCTCATTTCTGAAGTTTCAGTTTTTTAGTATTATCCCAGATCATTTACTTTAGTTTATTTTTTCTATTTGTTGAACTGATGACAATTTAAGCTGTCAGATTTTTCTACAGGCGTTCGATATACAACAGATTTCAGATGGTTCCAGAAGAAGAAATCCAAGGGACTAAGGGCCAAGGAGTGTGGAGGCCAAACACAGGTGCAACGTGTCCAATCCACCTTCTGGGATCTGTAGCATCGAGGTGGTTTTGTACCACAATTGCAAAATGTGTTTGTGCACCAGTGCAAACCACATGTTTTTGTATGTGGTGGCTGACATTCTATACACCAAATCCAGGAGGACGATTGTAAAAAACAAGATAATTTGTGCCATTGAGGCATTCAGACATAAGGTATGGTCCCAATAGATGATCTCTGAGAATGCCTGCCCAGATGTTAATACAAAACTTGTGTGCACATTCAATGGTATAGCACTGTGGAAATTTTTGGACGATCATACATGCACACAGTGCATTTGACCACACCTTCTCTCATCAAGCAGGCTTCATCTGAGAATAAAACAGTGGCGGGAAACTGAGAATCATTCTGTGTGGCATCAAGCATCTAGCATATAAGCTCTAACTGAATGGAGAGGTCGACATTGCCTAGGAGTTGGAACTTCCACATTTTGTGCATGTTTTCTGCACGCAGAACCTTCCTTACCCTTTTACGAGAAAGACTCAGTTCAGGTGCAGATTGTATACTGGTCAATGAGGAACCGATTGTATACTGGTCAATTACAAAGTATATGAATTACAAAATACTGATACATGTATTTGAAAGATTTTCTACACAAAGAATGGTACAATGTAACCAAGTATTATTTTTCATTTGTGCGATTCCACTCCACATCAAGTTCAGGGAGGTTTATTGAGCGTAATGCCACACTAAGAACTTCCTTGTAAATATCATCACCATTACTTTGATAACTACCTGTATATCAAAAGTCAAACATGTCATTTGTCCCTAATTTAGACTGACACTTTCAGCAGAATTCAAATGCAGTTTTTTTGGGGGGGATACTGAAAAGAATTGAAATGTTTGCTAATAAATTTAATGCTTGTCTGAATTTAGATACAAATTTATTTATACCAGAGAAATTAAAAATAAATAAATACATGAAATTGCAAATACAAATTCATTACTTTACCCCTAATATTCCCAGGAGAACAAAAGGAACAAGTTCAAAGAAAATCCATGGTCGAGTTTTTTCAACATAAAACATCACTAGATGATCATTTCCAAAGGGATTGATGGACCTGAGGACAAATGCTGCAACTAATGCACAAAAGAAGGAACGCCACAGGGTCTTTAAAGGAAAGTAATAACTAACCTAAGAGGGGAAAAATATGAATTCAGTGCAAATCAGGAAATCAAATTCTTTGCTTAGAATGAAATTACCAGAGTTTTCAAATACATGAATTTATGTCACAGGAATTATCACATACAATAAACATAAATTTACATTAAAATGTATTACTATTTAGCTATTATAATGCAATTTTTATACAAAATTTCCAAAATATGAAATGTCTGCAATCATATGCAAAAATGTATTGTTAACAGAATGAGGAAATGAATATACACTTACTTCTTCTAAACTAAAAAGAACACCACCAATAGGTGCACCAAATGCAACAGAAACACCAGCAGCTGATGCAGCTGAAAGTATCTGAATAAGTGAAAGATATTTATAAATTTCTCATCAAACGTATTACAACCAATACTAAAAAAAATATATTTTTTACATAAAAAACATGCCTTCACAGAAAATGATTCATTTTGAAAAGAAGAAATTGTTAAAATGAAAGCTAAAACTTTTATAATTATGCCTCCTTTTATCTTAACTTTGCATTAAAAATTTCTGTGAATCCCAATGTTATTCATACTACTGACCACCAGTAAAGTTAAAAAATTATCTGGACACTAATGAATGGCCATAATCATGAAATACATTAGTTGTGCTATAAGATTAAATCACATTATCAGTTTCCGAGAAAATCCATAAACTGATTTTATAACAGCAAAATGAGTAACTAATTTTTAAGGAAAATTTTATAATTTACAGATTTGTACAAAAGTTAATGTTAAATTAGTAGACCTAAAATTTATGTTTTGGTAATTTTAAATAAATGTCTAAAACTTAAACAAAACAGTGTATGATACAGTCATACACAAAAATAGGGTCAGAAAGAAAAAATAGAAGAAAAGAAAAATTTCTTAAACTAACCAACAGAGTGATACTTGAAACGAACTGCAATTTCAAGTGACTTTGAAGTTGTAAATGTACAGAAAGATGACTCATGTTTTATTTTAAAACTAAAAAAGAGAGTAATGAAGTGAGGTTGCATATGAAATTTGATTCAATTGTTTTAAAAAATGTCTTAAATATTGTCATCTATCCATTTCTATTACACTTTCATATCAAATTAAGTTATATACTTAATTCTTAGAAGTTATGCTATAAACTTGTTATACAATATTTGAAAGCTCTAACAAGAAAATACTTCTCCATTCTGCTTATGGGAATCTCATTTTCACAATCTTAATATATTCAAATTCCCAATGATATGCAGTACTCTCACTAAAGTTACACAAAGACAGCCTTTTTTTTCTATAAAAACCTTGATGTAAACATTATTGTCAATGAAAATGACGAATTCTGTGATAATACAAAACACAGAATGGAAATAGCAAATTACATATAATGTTCTATTTCTTATTATATTTGATCTGTAACTTATTGTACATACAGTTACGAATACACAAACTGCTAAAATTATAGATGGTGTAAAACAAATATTCACCTTCACAAAAGCTTATTGGAAGGAGAAATTATCCCCCTCCCCATAAATCAAAACATTTTGAAAGTACTGTACCATCACCAATAAACAGCATTAAATGCAAGAAAAAATATAAATTCAATTAAAATATGTGTACAGCCCTTTTTTTCAGCTATGTGGTTTACTTTCACTTTTATTTGGATTTACTTAAAATATGCATTAAAATTCCACTACTCTAACCTTATCTGAGAAACATCTTATTTTTAACAGTGACATATATAAAAACTGAAATATTATCTAACAGATGTTACAGGATCACTTTTATAGTACAAATACAAACAATAAAATACTGATCACTTCATTGCTTTCATTACTGAAACCGATGAAAAACACTATGGCATATCAATAGGAAAGGATTTAGTGAACACAGCATCTATGAAGTTCAAGATCTTCCAACATGTTCAGTAGGAATGAGTAAATTTAAAACAGAAGAAGGGGAGGAACTCAAAATAAAAAGTAACTTTTAGCAAAATCTGTAAAAGAATGAAGAAATGTTATTTCAGAAATGAAGAAATTTAAGTTATGGTGTAAAACAATCTTAACAATACCACAGATTAATTTAAAGATCAAGTCTTTCAAGAACATTAAAAAGAAATATGCTGAATGTACAGTCTTTGTAGCGAGTCCTGGTTGGCTTGTGGTAAACTAATCATTGTTCACAAATGTACCTAACCTTCTAACATAATGATTTAACTCTAAACAGGCCACTGAAATTACAGGCTGTTAACTTATGATTCTTTGTAGATACCAGTTATGTCTAAAAGTTGATTTCCAGTATATATATAACACACATGAGGGGAGGAGGAGGAAAACTCTACAAATGCAGATTTTTATATAGCAATTTAATACTTTACAAGCATGCAACTTTATAAATGGCACACATATTTAACATATTGAGTGCCATTTGTATTTAATATATACAACATATATTAGCTTATCAGGTTACTTGCATCAGACTGGATACTGTAATATGCACTCAGATTCAGCTGTATGTATTCTAAGAAATACGTTCTATGTATAATTTTTAATGATACAAAACACTCTGGTAGGCAAAACAGAATTTTTTCTACGTGGACCTATAAGTTTCCAAATGAATACAAAATAATTATGGTATAAAAAACAGATATATTACATGTTAAAAATATCATAGTGTTCAATGTGTTTATTTATAAAATTATGAAAGCATTAACATTCTTATACTAACCTCCCTTTTTTTGGCTTCATTTTTCCCATATTTTGGGAAAAGATATGAAAAAATGTTACCTATGCAACAGGCAACATGAACAAGTGGACCTTCCTTGCCTAAACTGAGACCAGCAGCTACAGCAAGCATCATACAAACTGATTTAATAGTAAGTGTCCACTTTCCTAGGTATCCCCTAATGATAAAACCACTCAGAATGGTTTTGATCTGAAAAGAGGAAATTATTTAATATTTAATGTTTATTTTTTAAATAATGTGAAACATTTACAGGCTGGGGGGGGGAAGAGAAAAACATTAGCCCTCAGCTCCAATACCAGAAATAATACTAATTCAAATGCAGACAGTATTTAATTAGGAAATAAAAATTGCCATGTTTACTCACATAATTTTTGCCTATTTTTTCTTTCAGCATATGGTTTAGAAACATCTGATTTATAGTAACAATGCTAAATGTATGCACAAAACTTACACAAAATACTTATGTACATTTTTATTCAAACAAGTATTTTAAGCAAGTAAAAAGAATAGTATTGAAATTATTATGTCCTGCATAGAAAAAAAAAATAATAGTGCATCTTAATGTGCCTTTTTAATATGTTTTTATCAATTAAAATATCTCTTCAAAAAAAAAATATACACACCATAATTTTTCTCTCCTGGATTTCAAACATTCAAATTAGTAGAAAAAGGGAGTACACGAGTACATATGGCAATAAACGAAACATCTACTGTCCCCCAACAAAAACATTTTTAGTAACATTTATTCATAATCAATTCTTATAAATATCATTATGGAAAAGCTCAGTTGCCAGAGCATACTCTTGCGACACTTGTTACAGAATGTATACAAGTCACTATATCATCATCAATAAAAATAATGAAAATTAATAAATAAAAATTAAAATAAAGATTCAAAGCAATCATTCACAGGACTAATTGAAATAAAGTAGACTGATATGAAGAGCGCATAAAAATTCAAAGCAATCATTCACAGGACTGATTGAAATAAAGTAGATTCATATGAAGTGTAATTAAAACAAAATGCAGAATGAGCGAATGGTAAAAATCTTCACTGATGAGAAACTTCAGCAAAACATGATACAACAACGTCTGAATTTGTTTGCTTTCCTTTACATAATAATTCATTTCTCAATGATTTTACACAGGGTAAGTCAAAAGAATGTCCAATTTCATAGGTGCACTAGGCAAAATGTAATATATGCAGTCATTGAATATGTATACACATGCAAATGTGATATAAGCAAGTTTTGAATGTACTCCTTACAAATGTATTTCATAGTATACTTAACAATATTTTACCATTTGTCTGTCTGATCACAAGAATGTATCTTGTCAGCTTTTGAATCGAATATGGAAGAATTACAAGTGTATGGGAAGGAAAAGACTACAAATTCAAGACAAGGCCATTTTTTATCAAGTATATAAAAGGTGCACATACTCTTTGAAATTGCAAATGCAATTAACATATAGTTCTTATAGAACACAGAACATGGGAAACGTTTCTTCCAATTTCAAAGTAACGACAGCTCCTCACTTACATTCCATTTTAGTTCAATTCTAACTTGCACTACACAGATTCTCTCTTCCAATGCTAAAAACACGTACATGATGAGAACTGACTCATATGTGAGCAACTAATCAAAAATTGTGTAGCCATTGTAAAATAAAGGAGGAAAAGCAGAGTTGCTGGAATTGCAAAAATAGCTATGAAAAGAGGTGACTCAAATCCATGTCAAATGTCATGTGTGCAAAGGAGAGGACTTCATTCATTAAGCTAGATGAGATGTGGTCAAATCAAATCAGCAACAAATGAAAGAAGTTGTGTTGTTATGTGAATCGACAGTTCATCTGAATTACAACAATGTGAAGACTACAGTGATTCTCAAGTACAGCTGTGATGTTTTTATTCTATTGCATACTGTACCCCAAAACCAGACCATAAATAAGCAGTATTTAAGGAAATTAAGCCCATACTTGCCAACCTATGACACTCAAAAATCAGGAGATTTTTTTAAGAAATCAGGAGATTTTTCACAATGTTAAAAAGACTTTTTAAATGATAAAAATATAGTTTTTAATAATGAATGAACTTTAAGTAGTAACTAATTCTTAAATGCAAGCAACACAAAAATACCTTACACATAAAAAATTTTTACTACACGCATCGTTTTAGAAAAGAAAAAAAAAAAAAAAAAAAAAAAAAAAAAGACACTTTAATCAGTTTTTGTACAAATGTTATAAACAGTCGCAGATTTTGCTTTCTTTAAGAAAGAAACTTCATCATTGTGTTCACAGCAATTGCCACGTAGGCCTGCTTTCGCTAATAACAGTTTTTCTAATTTGCCATCTCTAATATTAGATCTAAATTTAGTCCTCGTTTTCACAACAACACTGAGGATCCTCTCACACTTTGCATTACTATAGGGAACTGTCAAGATGGCCAACACAATTCTAGACAGTTCACTATATTTTAAAATTCCATCAGCACCTTTCAGTTTTGCAATTAAACTCCACTGGGTGTCAATCGTAGCTGATTTTATAACTTCATCCAAGTTTTTCTAATTGTAAACTGCTGTTATGCAGTTTACAATTAGAACTGTTTCAATTTTTCCTTCCTTTTAGAACTCCTTTCAAGATAATAATAAATATCAACAATGTGTTCATCCACATTTATTGGTAAAGAAGTTGCCCCTTTTTCAGCTGCTAAATTTAAGAGGTGACAGGTGCACCTCATAATCTGAATTTTCCTTTCTTAAGATGCCTGCAACACCAGCCTTCCAAGCCTACCAATACTGGTGCATTATCGGCACCAAGTGCTAAGCAATTATCCAGAGTGCCTGCAGTTTTCTTTTAAAGTTTTAATAATTAACTGTGCTATATTAAAGCCTGTCAAATGTCCTTCTAAAGTGGGAACATAAAGTAAACTGCACTCAATTTCTGAAGACTCTGGATCAAAAAAAGAAACAACAATTGGATACAGTTTTGAATCGGTATTATTGCTTCCATCAGTAGAGAGGCAGACCGGAGCTGGGTTGATCTTTACAATATGGTAACTGGTAGTTTGGCGACATTTTGGAGGCGATAAAGGTTACTACCTGGGACTTTGGTAATAATGTGAGCAGTACTCAGTTCCGATTATGCATTATTTTGTGTGGGGGAAATGAGAGATCATGGGATGTGTCATGTGATAGTAATGGACGAATTACGGTTCTTTAATCGGAAAAGGGGGGAATTTGGACAAGTATCTGTGCATGTATATTATTTTGTATTAAGCTTCATTGTGTGTTGTGTGAAGTAGGGTCGAATAATTTTGGGATTGTATGGCGCTGTCTAAAGTGAATTCGAAATTTTTAATACGTTTGTGTGATAATTCAAAAGAATTGGTTGAATGGTGCATGAGTGTAGGTTTAATTGCAGATAAGTATGAATGTCCAAAATGTGGGAATGAAATGAGATTGTGTGAAAGGAAGGATATTACTGATAAGTTTGAATGGCGGTGCAAGAAATCTGGTGAAAATGCACATTTTGTGAAACGGAGTATAAGGAAGGGTATGTGGTTTGCTGAAAGTCGTTTGAGTATAGGTGAGATTTTATTGATTTCTTATCATTGGGTGAATAGATTGCCAGTTGACTATTGGATTTCGGATTTAGAAATTAGTAGTAGGACTGCAGCTGATTGGAATTCTTTTTGTAGGGAAGTGTGCGTGGAATTTTGCGAAAATGATATGGGTTATGCTTGGTGGTATGAATGTGATTGTGGAAATTGATGAGAGTAAGTTTGGGAAGCGGAAGTATGAGAGAGGTAGAAGAGTGGAAGGAAAATGGGTGTTTGGTGGGATTGAAAGTGGGGTAGTATAAAAATGTTTTTTAAGGTTGTGCGAGATAGAAGTAAGATTGTTTATTGAGTTTTATAAAACAATATATTTTACCGGGTACTATAATTATTTCAGATTGTTGGAAATCATATCAATGTTTGGAAGATGAAGGGTTTAAGCATCTTGCTGTAAACCATAAGTATTATTTTAAAGATCCGGAAAGTGGTGCGCATACCAACACAATAGAGGGCACCTGGAGTGGTATAAAAAGCGCCATTCCTAGGCATTGCGACAAGGAGAATTTTGCTTTTTATTTAGCGGAGGAAGTTTGGAGGAAAAATTCAGAAAAAAAATCGTTCAGTAATTTTATTCAATCCATAATAAAAGTGTATCCACCATGTAAGGAAGATTCGAAAGAAGATTAGGTTAGTTAGACTTGTTAAGAATGTGAGTAGTATTAGTTCTGATTACGCATTATTTGTGTGAGGGAAATGAGAGATCATGGGATATGTCATGTGATATTAATGGACGAATTACTGTTCTTTAATCGGGAAAAATCTGGGAATTTTGTATTTGGCTTTATTCGTGTTGTGTGAAATAGTGTTTGTGAATTTTTGGATCCCATGGCCGTAAGTAAAGTGAAATTTGAAATGGGTATTTAGTGGTATTGAAAAGGATAGTAAGAAATGTTTTTTTAAGGTTGTGCGAGAGAGAAATAAAGATGTTTATTATGTTATTTTTTACCTGGTATCTGATTTGAAAGATAAGTATGATTTTAAAGATCTGAAACAGAAGGAAGAAAAGTGTATCCGCACGTAATCAGATTCTGAAGAAGATTATGTAAGTAGTATTTTTAATTATTTTATGCATTTTTTGTAAATGTAGGTGGAAAGGAACTTGGTATTATTGGGAAAATTGTTATTAGCAATGATTTAGTTTAAGTAATTAGGATTGTAAGGTAATTTTTATTAGTTTTAATGTATGTGCTCATTTATATTTTAAGTAGTGTTTTGAATTTAATTATATTTTTAATGAAATGATAGTTATTTTGTGAATTTAATGTTTGTAGGAATTTGGTTACGTTTAGTTGAAATAAACGTGCATGGAAATAATTTAAATATTTGATATTAGTATTTGTAATGCTTGCGTATGACTTCGTTGGTGAGTGTATAAGTAATAGAGATTTAGAGGTAAAAGTTTTTTGGATATTCTATTTATTTTTATGGGAAATGTTGATATTTGTAAAGGGTAAATACTTTTTCGCGATCATGTAATTTCATATATGTTCTTTTTACCGGTTTAAAGATTGAGAAAATTGTCGTGTATTTTCGTGAAATTTTTTTAATTATGAGAAAAAAGCAGTGTACATGGATATAGTGAGAGTGTGCGCAATGCCATTTTGTGCAAGTCTGGGATGTTTTTTAAGTAAAAATAAGTCGAGCGTGTACATGGTTCAGTGATTTTTTAATGAAATGATAGTTATTTTGTAAATTTTATGCTTGTAGGAATTTGGTAACGTTAAGTTGAATAAACGTGCATGAAAAATTTAAATATTTGATACTAAGTATTTGTAGTTGCGGTATGAATTCGTTGGTGACGTGTATAATGTATAGATGATTTAGAGGTAAAAGTTTTGGATATTCTATTTATTTTAATGTGGAAGGTCATATTTGTAAAGGGTAAATACTTTTTCGCGATCAGGTAATTTCATATATGTTCTTTTAACCGGGTTTAATAATGAGAAAATTCATGTATTTCGTGAAATTTTTCTAATTTATGAGAAAAAAGCAGTGTACATGGATATAGTGAAGATGTGCGCAATACCGTTTTGTGCAATTCTGGGATGTTTTTTTAAGTAAAAATAAGCGGCGGGTTACATGGTTTATGTGTATGTGTTATTTTAAAAATGCGTAAAGAGGATGGTATTGTGCAGTTTTTCCTAATTTGCAGTGAATATTTGTCATGATTAAGCAGTTTTGTTGATAAAATTTCTAGCATAAGTGTAATTCGGCTAGTAGATTTGGAAGAATGTTCAGGAGATAAAAGAAAATAAAGATGTCTTACTTCGTGAAGACAAATGGCGGCGGGGAAAAAAAAATAGAGGGTTGCTGTAGGAGAGTTGGTCGCCAAATTTTCGCCAAAAAATCGCCAAGTTACCATAATGTAAAGATCACCGGAGCGTTTAATGCAATCAATAACTGAAGATTTATTTTCATTGCACCTGTTTTTGATTCTTGCACCTTGAGTATTTCTTAGGGATTTCACTATCGGAAAACATTTTTTTAAATAAAGCTGCAGCGTGATCCGATGCATTCATAGCAGGTTGTGCTCAGTAAAAAGGCAGAGAAAGACATTCTGCATTATAACTTTTGGCCTTGTTTTCTGAAGAAAAATTTAATTTTCGTTTTTTTCAAAACAACCATGTTATCCTTGTGTTTTGTGTACGCAATGTTGAGAATCGCCCTTCCAACATACGAAATCGAAAAATCGCAACGACAGCGGTACCATCGCAAATTTATACATTTCTTGAGGAAATAATGGAAGAAGTCAACGTGTACGATTTTTGAAACGTACACAGTATTTCACCTTTCTCGCAGACGTAACAAAAAGATGATAATTTCTAAAACTATTCCCTAAGGCACGTGTACTCACCACACTCAGGACAAAATGAACGAAATATAAAAAGAACGTCAAATAACAACTTGCTTTGTCCCATTGGCTAATATATGCCAGCTGACACGCAGTGGAGCTCGAAGCCATTGGAGACGGAGAATGACGGTTCTGGATAATATAATGCTCTCACTCATAAAGCAGAAGCTATCTGATTCGCAAGGTTTTGTTTTAGATATAATGTAGAGAAAATTCAAATTGCTTTCAGACGTCAAAAGCACTTTTTTATACATATAACAAAGTATTAAGCCAAGTTTCATAAAAATCGTGAGAAATTTTAAGAATAGAAAAATCGGGAGAAGTATTTGTAATCGGGTTGGCGGGAGAGCGGTTGAAAATCGGGAGTCTCCCGCCTAAATCGGGAGAGTTGGCAACTCTGTAAGCCATTTAAGAATATTAAAGCTGCAGATTAATATTGTGGAGATGAAATGCTTCATAATGAATTTTCAACCTGCAGGTTTATTAATAAAATATACAGCCACTAAACCATTTCATAAAATGAGACTATTTGATAGCTGAAATAATTTAGTTATATACAGTCAAAAGTCGTTAATTCGACACCTATCCGGAATGATCGATAATCTGGACCTCAAAGCTACAAACTTTTGCATTCGTTCGCAATGAGCTGCTCGTAAGACCTACGGCTGCAAATGTGTGTGCGCATGGCGCAAATACGTTTATGTATGCGGTTTAATGTAATGGATGGTATAAGCTAAGGTAAAATTATCTAATTCAGTTAATGTCGCAGATTGCGTTGTTCCTTAATCAATCTTCGAATTGGATCTGACTTATTATTTTTTGCAGACTGTTTAGAGCAATTTTATAAAAGTAAGCTTAAACTATCGATTATGACAAATAGAATTTCCGATATATATTACTAATATGTAAAGGATCTACAAAGCGAAAGTATGTTTCGAAGTCCATTAACAGAAAGTGGAATTGCTGCAAAAAGGATAAAGCCATATCCTTGAATATCTAATCATTCCGAAATATGTTATCATTTCACGCTGCTCTGCGGGCACATGAATTGGATGATGAGCGCACATGAATTGGAGTGATCGTCAGAGATCCTTATCTTCAGGGCATATGTTTTTATTTTATTGGCTACAATTCCTTACTAATGTGTATTTCATCTCGATGTACTCTGTCTTTGATATGATTTAAATCAAGTTCCTCGTATTATAATTCGGTTCCGATAGTGAAGAAAAGTACACAGAGGTTATTGAAAAACGAAAAAAAAATTTCGATTGACAAGTTAGTCGGAATGCTCCAAACAGCGGTTCCAAGACTTCAACAATGTAACTGAAAAAGAGATTATGTCTGTCTATGGAATTAAAAAGAAAGTATTATCACAAAAAACAAAGCAACTTAAACAACATACATTGAACGAAATGTTTAAAAAGGTAAACAAATAAATATTAAGCTTTGTTTTTTTTTTTTTTTGTAATTTTGATACCCTTTAGATCATAAATATTTCATGATTTCATAAATCCCGATTTCATATTTTTAATTTTATAATTTTTACATGCCATCTTACTAGATTGAAACTGACGATCCAATATCCGGAAAAATCCCAAATCCGGAATCGCCAAAGTCCCGACGAGTCTGGATTAATGACTTTTGACTGTATTTTAATTTTCTTTTAGCATATTGCATAGACAGATTTTTTTTTCTGTAATCCATGAAATGTTTATATTCTGTTATCTATAATATAATTTTGTTAAATACAGTACACAGCAAACACGAGAAAGCTGCAAAATGTATTTCCAAATAAAAGTACTAATGATTTCATTCTCACCAAATTAAAATTAAAGAATATAATCTGGAAATAATAATTTAAAATTATATAAAACACCAGAAAGAAAACTACAGGATATTTTATAACATACTAAAAATTCTACAACGATGTACATAAATAGCTAATAGCATTTTACCAATATTTTTCATTATGTGATTTTTACAACAAAGGATTAGTAGTTATGTTGCCAAATCATTTAAGAATCACTTAAATGCAGTGAAGATATTGGTAAAATGACATAATCTGACATTACGCTTCCAGAAGTACATTACATTGGCATCATTTTACTAATACAGATAGCAAATTTTGTTCCCATATTTCAGTTACTGACATTAACAGAACTATTCTTTTCTTTTAAAACTGAAATACCAATTACCTAAAATTAATTAAATTATTCCAACTATAAACACAAAAAATGGATTTTTCATATTTTACTGTTAATTAATGTAAAAATATCTCCTTTTTACATACCTCAGGTATTCCTGAGCCACAAGCATAGGGTGCAAATGTTTTGACTAATAAAACAGCAAGAGAAGCAAACAGCAAGCTCCACAAGATATACATGATAAATTCAATGATGACTGTGCCAAAATTTTGACTTGTATAGCCAAACTCCTCAGGCCATGTATGCCACTGAAATGAAACAGGGAAGACCGGGGGAAAAAAAAAAAAAAAAAGAGAGAAGGAAATGCATATCATACTTAGAAAAAGTACAAATGTATATCTCTGAATTAAGTTGAATGTGAATTTAAAATTTTAAGTTCACCTTGTTCTGAGCTACCTAGCCTGTACATATACATCAAAAAGCTATCAAATTTAACGTGTGCTTAATGAAGTGATGGGTAAGAAATTAAAAGCAAGAGAAGCCGTTTTGTGGCTTTAATCAAAATTTAGCATAAAATATTGCTTAATTTAACATAAAGTTGATCTGTGTAACTTGGACAACACATGTTTAATACAATAGCTACTGCTTGAAACCTTTGTTTCATACATCTTGAAATTTCGCACTCATAACAGAATATCCTTCCTTTCAAAAGTTATCTTGTCTCTGCCAATAAGGTCCTTCAAGCAGTCCCATATGCAAAAATTACATAAAATAAAGATCTGGGAGTTAGGTAGGCCAAATGTTAGGTCAGAGGCAACTGAGGACTTTTCCATCTGTGAAAGTCAGCAGTTGAGATGATGCTTGATTTAAATAATGGTTTTTAAGGAGCATTAACCCTGCATGAACACACTGTTCCACAGCAATGATGTGCCTGCAGTGCCAAAATGAGATGGAATTCCACAGTAATGCATATTATTGCCCATATATAGAGCCTGTCATAGGGATTGTGAGAGTAAACTTTCAAAAGAAAAGAATCAGTGAATTAATGATGTAGAATATATGCAGTATATTGTTACTTCAGGTGAATGTAATGAAACTGCAAGAAAATTGTAGGTTTTCTGCATTCTTTTCAGGAAGATGCCACAGATGCCATAGTTACATGTGTAAACTGCACCGCCTAATGAAAATGCACTTTTGTTTCTCCACTGAATGTTTCGGTTGCTGTTATCACGACAGTGAGCAAGGAAATATAATATGATTTTATACTTGAACAGATCAGTAAGTAGGGCCAATGAATAAATAAAAGTTTGTAGTGATTACAGCATAGAATATTCCAAAGAATTTTATAAACTGTGATAACAACTTATCTAACACTTGCAACATCTACAAGTTCTGGCCATGGAGTCTGATACCTTATCTTCTTCTGGTGCAGCTACTTTCTTCACTACTACATATCAATATGCTTTTTTCACTTCTAAACTGAAGAATGATCATGTTTCTTTGAACTTTGCTATCATTTTTCATTGCCGATTTGTATGAATTGCCAGAGATGTAGCTAAGGTTTTCAGCACCCAGGGACAACTGAAGATTTTGCACCTCTTTCTCTGTGCCAAGAATGGAAAACATTTCATTCTAAAATTTCGTAACATCAATTTGGCACCCCCTGAATGCTGCGCCCAGGGACAGATGTCCCCCCTTGCCCCACCCTAGATAATGCCACTGTGGATTGTACATTTCTTCAAAGCCCTTTCTTTCAAAGACTGAAATCTCTGCAAAGCTTCTGGTGATGAATTACTAGCAAGATGAATTTCACCGGCGAAGCACATTTTTCTTAACTCAACATTGTGGCAAAGAAACGACAATGGAAGCGATTCTGAAAGACTTCAGATAAGCACACAAATGACTTGCCACTCTGCATGAAATAAGAAGACTGGTCACATGGTTGCCAAAATAAGTTTGCAAATCCAAATTTGCATAGGAAAGCACTTTCTAAGAGTGAAATTTGGAATTTGGAGATGATATATATTTTAACACACAAAACCAGTACTTTAAAATTATATACTGTCTATGAAGAATTTCACTATATTTTCAAATACACATACATATTTTAAATAATTTCAAAAATTAAAAAGAACTGTAGCAATCAAGACAGAATTCAGCTCCTTTATGAACAAATTGCAAAATTAATTCATTAACAAAACCAAAACTAACCTTCAAATAAACAGTTACAACTTAAATATTTCAAATGTACACCTTCATTCCACAGGATGCAATGTCAAATAAAGAATTATTGAAAGATAAACCATAATTTTTTTTTAATTTGAAAATAGAGAGTTCTACCAGTAGGACACCCCTTCAATCCCCAAAACCATGGCCAACATTTTCCCCGCAGACATCGAGTTTTGGTTCGTACTTGCATGTTTTGATTCGGGGGTGTAATGATGCACCCATGTCTCATCACTGGTGGCAATTTTATGCAAAGCTTCCCCTTCTTCAAAACGAGTTCGAAGCAGTTGAGAAATGCAAACTCTTGTGGCTTTTTGATCATCATTCAGCAACCTTTGGAACCCAATGTGCTGAGATTTTTCTGAAGCCCAAATGCTTTCTGATGATTGATTGGGCACTTTCATAGCTGACACCAAGTTCTTCCGAAATTTGAAGCGATGGGAAACGTCGATCCCATTCGCTAAGCTCACGAACACGTGCAATGTTTTCATTAGTCACACTCGTGCGAGGATGACGGGGATGTGCTTGATTCGCAACACGTTCACGGCCTTGCTTAAATTGGTTGCACCAAACCTTCACTTTTGACCATGAAAGCGTAGCTTCCTCGAACTGGGCAAGCAGTCTGCGGTAAATTTCGGCTGGTTTCATGTTTTCACAGACGAACAGAGAACTTTATAATTATGTTTTCACAGAGAAACTTTATAATTATGTGTTGCTCCAGAGAGATGGGCACACTCATTGTAAGGGCACTTAAGCACTGGACAAGCTGGCTGATGTGGTTTCCCTACTCTAGGTATCCCCACCTAACGACTACAAATGCCCAATCACACACAAATACCCTTCCCCACTCACCAATAAGCTTTTTATATATCGACTGATACCTCAATTTTTTAGACTTTTAGGTCTTTTGTCTCACCCCAAGATTGTGAAAAACACAATATATCCAATATTCTGTGAGACAATTGTGGAGAGTGTCATACAGAACACAGTTTCATGCATCGAACAGGTCCTTACATTAATTAACTGATAACAAAAAAATTATATTAACATGTACACCAACTTCTTACTGTGTGATAAATATACTCCTTTTTACATATGTCATCATCATGCTTTAATGTGGTCCGTACATGTAAGTGAATAAGAAATGAAAAGCTAGCACACGAGTGAAAATAATATAGTTTTTATTTATAACAAGAGCTACACTGGACTAAAAAGGGGACACTTCTATATCTCCCATTCTATTGGGCCGATTGACGAAATTCAAATTGCATTTTTATGTCTCAAAAGCATGACTTAGGATATATATTAGATTTATATATAGTATTTAATTTTGACACAAAATCGAACTTTTTCTGAAATGACCTGCTAATTTTTTCCCCATTTCGATTCTACAAAAAAAAAGTCATTGTTCATATACTCAAATAATTTTAATAAAGTGCATAAACCACATTTGGCGTTATTATCACTTAAAAAAACATACGGCAAATTTCAAAATGCTCCAATATGTAAATTCATGTATATCTGAGAAAATTTTGAATAAGAATAATTTTTTGCAGGTGTGCCTAGAAATACATCTACTTTAAGACAAAATAAAACTTTTACAGGTTATAACACAAATGTTTCCGAAAAATTTATAAAAAACACAAATTTTAAAAATAAATCATAAAAAATGTGTGAATTAGGTTTGAATTAAGCCAAACGTCCGAATTCTGGAAGAAGGAATCAAGTATGTTAAATAAAAAAGAGGGATACTAATAAATATATATCAACTTCAATTAAAATTAACATTGAGGAACTAAAAATTTGAGATATAATTTTTTAAAAAATACTTGTGCGATTTTTATAAATCTTGACAGTTTGACATAATCTGAGTCGTAGAAATGAAATATGTAAAAAAATTGACATGCCATTTCTGGAAAAGTCCTATTTTGAGTCAAAATACCAGAACAATGCTATATATAAATCTAATATACATCCTAAGTCGTGCTTTCGAGGCATGAAAAACTCAAGTTGAATTTCGTCAATCGACCCAGTACAATGAGAGATATAGAACTGTTCCTTTTTTTTTCCACAGTGTACATTTTGTAGAATGCTCAAGGGTCACATGATGTTTTAAAAATTGAGCTCAGAAGCTTTAAGGCATGCCTCACATTGTCAGCGCATGGCATCAAGAACATCCAGCAACATTATAAGTATATCTTGGATGACTATGGCAGCTATAGAATATAGGTCATGCAACATGACCTTCAGCATTTTCCCTGGCAGTGTCATATACCATTTTTCAAGTAACCCCAGAAACAGTCAAAGTAGGATAGGCCTGGTGATCACACTGTCTTCTGCATGATAGAACAGAATTTCCTCATTGTTATAGGTGCATGGTAGGTCTCCAAAAAGAGACAGTCTCACAGTTTGATGCAATCCTGCAATCTTCTAGTAGGCGGGAGTATGCCTCATTTGGTACCATTCCTGGTACATGTGCACAGCAGCACTTGCTCAATACAGTCTGCAGTCCTGTTTGCAAAAATACACATCAGCTAACTATAGTCATGTAATTCGCTATCCTACTACCTCTGCATGCAGCTCATAAATGCCAGTTTCCTGTGGTGAAATTTTGAAGTCTTGCAGTCATATAATGCCATCTACCAAGTGAGGATGATATTTTTGATTCTGCATAGCTGTAGAAGTCCAATGTCTGTGAGCAACCTACCCCTTTCAAAATTTAACACACATTCTACCAAAACACACTGTTTATTTGCAGATAGCAGACATGAAATATTTAGTTTATCACTTACTAGTAGGAATTATACCTATTCTAATATGCATAACATGACTCAAAGTTGATTTTCAAACAGACCATCTTAGAACACCTGATTGCATATTTCATCTTAACAAAAGAATGTAAACATATTCTTTTCAAGATCTCTGTTAAACTACACAATGTATCTAAAATCAAATTTTGTGCTCTGAAACAGAGGACAACAAGAGGTGTTTTTTTTTTTTTTTCCCTTTGGTCGGAATATTTATTTTGGAGTAAGGGAGCCGAATATTTAATTTTAGTGTGAAATATTGCAATTCAACTTCTGCAACAGTAACAAAATGAAAAACTTCACTAAAAATAAAATATTCTTAAAACATATTTCTATCTTTGAAATTACATCTGAGCAGTAGTGGGGCATAAATACAGTGAATCACTTCATGAGAAACTCTCAGAACACATATTGCTCTGTTCATGTTTCAGAAAAGAATTTCCTCCTTGATATGAAGAACATAGAACATAAGTCAACAGGTTTCAAACATTCTGGTTTTGTGAACACAGATGTGGGTTACAGTAGTGCCTGCTAATCAATATAGTGGTTAGAGATGCTGGCTGCTGTATTAATGGGCTCAAGTTTGAATCCCAGAGAAGGCTTGGCTGTTCGAATGTGTAGTGTCTGTACAATGTGAGGGCACTTGAAATACTGATGAAGTCCTCCCCCAGAAAGCTCGCTATCAGAACTAGGATGAAGCAAGACAGTAAGTGCTGTAGGACCATTTACCTGTAACACCATTGATGAATTTTGGTGCCCCCACCACTTCATCCTGCAATGGGATCTGCAGTTTTCATATGGAATGATTGAAGCACTTCATCATCTACTACAGTTGATTGAAATTTGTGATTTTAATTAACCTGCATCATAAATTTCATGATTATATTATTTAGTCTTGATGTGAACTGAACATATCTCCCTTTTGTACAATTTCCTTTTCTGAAAATTTGTAAACATTTTAAGCAAATGGCTCATAAGTCCCCCAAAAGACCATCTTTGTAATAGTTTCCAAATTCTCAAAATCTTGCACATCAAGAGATCCCAGTGTATATATATATATATACTATATATATATAGAGAGAGAGAGAGTGAGAGAGAGAGCCTTTACTCCTATTTATAACAATTTCAATCCTGAGCTGTTGACAGATGTCACATTGCATTCTCATTTTAATGTTGAGAATTTTCTATTAAATGTTAAATCGATCTTCCTTCAATTTGAATGTCACTAGCAGTTTTTTTTAATTATGTTTTTAATTTTATTTTTATCCACTACAAAAACATAAAAAATTGCTTGTATATTAATTCAATTAACATCAAATTTCATATTGGAACTAGCCATAATTACATTGTGATGATGACCCCCTTTTTATTTTCTTTTTTACTCTGGTTTGAAGCTTTCTTAAACAGAACAAAAACTTATCCAACCGGGATGCTCTGCAAACTATAACAGTGACTACACTGTGACGCACTGTTTTAGCTTCAAAGATACTTGCATGTTACCATACAGTTCACAATGAATTATTTATTTTCAGAACTGTCTCTAGAATGTATTTCAATGTATCAGACTCTACAAAGACATTGCAGCTACTGCACTAACCTGATTCATTCAGTTCAACGACATAGCTTCTCTCAAATTTCGGCCAGTTACTTCTAATATGCTCAGACTGAACTCTGAAGCATTCTTACTATTCACACACAAGGTATTTCTCCCACTTCCCTAGCGTGCCTTCGTGGTGTAACGGTAGCACGCTGGGCCGGTATTCCAGAGGTCCGTGGTTCGATTCCCGGGAAGGCGGTTGCTAATTTTTCATCTCTCTTGCTTCCAAAAATAACCTAATGTCTCTACAGTGGCACCCAAACTAAAAGGGTGTTAGATGATTATTCTCCACACCCAGGATTTGGCGATTGGGTCCCCTAAAAACCCCAGTCGCCCTTTAAAAGGGGGAGTATATAAGGTATTTCTCTTGCCTTAATAGTTGCCTTCGTGGTGTATTGGTTCTGCACGCTGGGCCGGTATCCAGAGGTCTGTGGTTCGATTCCCGGCAAAGGCACTATTTTTCATCTTTTCTGCTTCCAAAAATATCCTAATGTCTCTACAACCTAAACACAGTTTGCTGTCAGAGTTGTCTTTAATTCTGAAAACAAGACAACATTTTGGATTTGGTTTAGCATATATATTTTAAGAGTCAGATCACTATATTTTACATCTTGTATGAATCATATCTCAATATCATACCTGAATAAAATTTTAATGTTTTTAGCTTTTCACTGCAGATGACTGTACAACCAATATGAAGCAATTTTACTACAAAATCAGAAGTCTGATTTTTTGTAACCTGTTTAAAAAATACCATACAAGAATAAACATATTCCAGATCCAGAAGTCACAAAATTTTTGTTTTTCACTCTTTAAAATATGCTTTTGGTTAAAAAGGGAATATTTCAATTTATACAAAAATAACCAAAATGCCCACAGATATCTACTTCCAAACGTCTCACAATTCTAAAAATGAGAAAAATCATTTTTCATTTCCACTCATAATTATTAAGGTACCTACTACTGCAGCGCGACTATAAATCTCTTTTATTTGAAAAGATTTACCGATGTATAATTCTAAACATTTACATACAAATAATTTTATAAAAACACAATGTAATTCAATTTATCCAACCTGAGCACATTTGTCTCCTTCATAGAAAGTATCATTTGAACTCCAACAACACTGCTCACGATTGAGCCAAAATGCTTGTGGACAGATACCTTCTTTTAAATCCTTCATCCAACCAGCACCAATATCAATTATGCCAGACACTACCCCTAAAATATTAAAATCATAACATTTGTTAATTTAAATAGCTTAAATGTTTTTGATGCTTAGAAAAACAATACCCAATAACTAAGAAAAAAATCACTTACCAGCAGCTAAACCAGCAAGCAGGACACATAACCAACCTGACCATGCATCATGAAAGCCTCGTATTAAATCGCATATGGATTCTCCTCTCTTCTTCACTATATACCGATGCCTCATGCGATCTCTAGCAATATCTCGCTGCCAGTCAATTGTGTGAAAGTCATCATACTGACCAATGCCTGGAGGCAATTCCTCCATATCTTGTGGCCCTCCAGAACCTACATTTGCAACAAAAGCCCAGCCTTTAATTTTATGCAATTTACAAATGAAATTTATTTCTTCAAAAAGATTTTTTTTTTTTTCTTTCCTTACTATAAAATGTAGTATCGATAAGATAGAACAATAATCTCTTATATATTGACAGCATAAAAGACTGACAAGAAAACAATATAATTGACTAATATAATTTAACATGAAATAAAGTTAAAAATTGTTCAATACATAATATTGTACACAGCAAGAAAAATATCAAAGATAAGATTTACTTTACACTTAAATACCAAAAACTTTTATAATGCTTTAGAATTGTAAATTTGAAAACTGTTTCTGCTTCTGTTTTTTCATTAATCAAAGCCTCAATTACTTCACCGATATTAGAATGCATTGCAATAGAAGCATCAGTAAATTGATATTACAGCAGAATAATGAGATAACCAAACTGTGGCTCAACATTTGATTTAGGTATGGCTATAGGATCTGTCACCTGTATGGCACTGTAAAAGCAAATTAAATCCCACTGATCTCTCTCTGTTCTTCCACCATATACAATTTCACTCTTAAAAGCTGAAGTTCAGTCAGGCATCAGCCCTCTCATCCAAAAAAACAGTTTAATTGAAGTTGAAGAGAGACATAGATTTGTAACCTTTCACTAAATTTGGAAAATTAATTACCACTGCTAATACTGTATTCTTCTATGCTTGTAATTTCACCGCTTATTCTGCCAAGCTGCAATCCCATATCCATAAATTTTGCTTTGCATCCATACAACGTCATAAAAATTTTCTATGCTGAAGGGTAATGAAGATTATTGCTATCTCTTTTTGGAGACACCATTCTAACGAATTTATGTAATCTAAATAGCAGACCTCTGCAATATGGAGGCTGAAGGAATTTCCTAAGTTATTGTTCTCTCAGTTGCCTCTGTAATCTGAAGGCAAAGAAATATTAAATAAAAATGAGCACCTTACTTTATTCAACATTTTTAAAACTACAGCACCGATGCACCTCTCTCAATTGATTTTAATTTCACAGTTTATATCCTCTTTCATTTCTCAAAACAAGTTTTACACTCAAGTTATACTTTCATTGTGGCAACTTTGTTTTTTAAACCCTTTTTAGAACTGATGCAAGAATTTTGAAATTATTTACTAAAGCATTAGATATTAGATTTTCCTTTTCACCATATATCTGAACGACATACATGAACTATATATATATATATATATATATATATATATATATATATAGTACATATTTCATATGAACTATATACAGTCAAAAGTCGATAATTCGGACACCCATAATCCAGAATGATCTATAATCCGGACCTCAAAGCTACAAACTTTCTGCGCATGCGACGCGTTGACGCATGCGCGTAAGACCTTTACGGTTGCGAATATGCGTGTGCGCATGCGCAAAATAGGTTTACGCATGCGCGTTTAATGTATAACGGACGGTATAAGCTAAGCTAAAATTATCTAATTCAGTTAATGTTGCAGATTGCGTTGTTCCTTAATCTTCGAATTGGATCCGGCTTATTATTTTTTGCAGACTGTTAGAGCAATTTTATAAAAGTAAGCTTGAACTTTCGATTATGTCAAATAGAATTTCCGATATATATATTTACTAATATGTAAAGGATCTACAAAGCGAAAGTATGTTTCGAAGTCCATTAAAAAAAAGTGGAATTGCTGCAAAAATGGATAAAGGCATATCCTTTGTTTATCTAATCCATTCCGAAATCTGTTTATCAATTTCATGCTGCTCTGCGGGGGGGGGGGCGCCGCGCGCGCAATGAATTGGAAGTTGATCTGTCAGCACTATCCTTATCTTCAGGGCAGATGTTTTTATTTTATTTGGCTTATAATTCCTTACTAATGTAGTATTTCATCTCGATGTACTTCCGTCTTTGATATGATTTAAATCAAATTCCTCCTCATTATAATTCGCTTCCGATAGCGAAGAAAGTGACACAGAGGTTATTGAAAACGAAAAAATTTCGATTGACAAATTAGTCGATATTCTCGAACACAGCAATTATAGGACTTGAACAGCGGAACTTTGTAACTGAACAAGAAATTATGTCTGTTTATAGAATTAAAGAAAGTATTATCACATAAAAAAACGAACAATTAAACAACTTACATTGAAAGAAATGTTTAATAAAGTAAACAAATAAATATTAAGCTTTTTTTGTAAATTTTGATACCCTTTAGATCATAATTGTTCTTTATTTCATAAATTACGGTTTCATATTTTTAATTTTATAATTTCTGCATGCCATCTTACCAGATTTAAACTGATGATCTATAATCCGGAAAAATCGATAATCCGGAATCGCCGAAGTCCCGACGAGTCCGGATTAACGACTTTTGACTGTATATACAGTGGTGGCCAAAATTGTGGACACTTTTGGAAATTTTTATGTTTTTGAACTTTGTATGCTTATAGAAAATGTTACGTTTCGCAAAATGCAAACTTGTATATATCATTTTAAAGAGAATTTATTACTGAATTCAATACAAAACACAAAATTCAATTATTTGCAGTACAAAAAAGTTATATGTACTTTAATATAAATAAAAAACACAGTTACGAAGTGGTTTGTAATGTCTAGCTTTCGTGGTCAATCACTGTTCTTGCTCTGAGAACCAATCAAATGTTAGTAACTGCCAGTAGAAGCTGACATCATGTTTACACTTGAAACAATGAAACAATTCATTATTTTGCTTTGTTCTGTAGAAGGAGGACCTGTTTCTTATACACTGCAATTACAAGTAGGAATTTTTGTAAAATTTTTAATATTTAGTCAAGAAGCAATGACATCAAATAAAAGAATAAATTGGACACCTAGAAAGAGATGTAATATTATGGTGTTACGAGAAAGTGGTCTTTCCTATGCTGAAATTGCAAGACAGGTGGGTGGTTCAGACAAAAAAGACAGAAAAAACAAAGAAGGCCGAAAAAGGTGCACCACATCTATTGATGATAGAAGAATAAAAAGACTATGTCTCCAAGATAGAAAAATGTCATCAGCGGCCATCAGAAGTGATCTGAATGATGCTGGTGTTTCTGTCAGTTCAAGAACAATCAGGAGAAGATTAACAGATGTTGGACCGAGAGGTAGAATTCCACGAAAAAAGCTTTATCTTAATTTTCAGCAATGAAAAAAAAAGACTACAGTGGGCAAAGGAACACATTAATTGGACAGATGATCAGTGGTCACAAGTTATATGGAGTGATAAAACTAAGATATCGTTATTCGGTAGTGATGGGCGAAAATATGTAAGACGTAGCATAGGAGAAGAGCTACATCCTGACTGCATTCAAGCAACTGTAAAGAACTCAGTTAGTGTTATGATTTGGTCATGCATGTCAGCAGATGGTATTGGTCGCCTTCATGTCATCGATGGGACACTGAATGCCAGAAAATACATTGACACTATTCTAGAACCAAAACTTCTACCTTCCATCAGAGATCTCTTTTCCAACAATGCTTCGTTTATTTTTCAGCAGGATTCTGCTCCTTGCCACACGGCCAAAATATCGAAAGAGTGGTTTCGTACAAAGAGCATTAAATTGTTGTCATGGCCAGGAAACAGTCCTGACTTCAATCCTATCGAAAATTTGTGGCACCGTTTGAAAACTTTTGTCCGAATGAGGCGCCCATCAAATAAAAGGGAACTAATTGAGGCTATATTTTTTCCTGGCATCATGTAATAACGAAAGAAGAGCTTAAACTCTTGTCAGCTCAATGAAACGTCGATGTGAAGCTGTAATCAAAAATAAAAGGTACCCTACTAAGTACTGATAACTCACTGCAATCATCACTATCTAATGTATATCGATAACTATTATCGTTTAAGTTTTTCTGTACTGCAAATAATTGAATTTTGTGTTTTGCATTGAATTCAGTAATAAATTCTCTTTAAAATGATATATACAAGTTTGCATTTTGTGAAACGTAACGTTTTCTATAAGTATACAAAGTTCAAAAACATAAAAATTTCCAAAAGTGTCCACAATTTTGGCCACCACTGTATATATAGTTCATATGAAATACATCCAGCTTCCGATAAATTTTTAATTACATATTTTCCTATAAGCAGGAAATTTTAAATAAAGGACTTTTTGAGAATTGCAAAAGGATGTGAAGGACTTGACGAGGCTTTCTGAAAACTGCTGAATAAAATGCTAGCAACATCATCGTATGGCTGGAATATCGCTTACCAGAAGTCCTGAATCACTGGATTCCAGATTATCCATCTTTCCACTGTACATGTAATAGAGTTTTGATGCAATGGTGCAGAAGATACTGATGCAAAGAACTAGATACATGTTTCCTAACAGCTAGTACATGTTTCTTAACAGAACACATTCGTGGACATTTAAAAGCATTGCATAACTGAAGGAAAACCATGTATAGCTGAATCAAAATAAATAGTCATGCTCATTACACTAAGTTTCTGAACTTGCAGACTACATACTAGTTAGAATGAAGGCACGTATTAGGAAAGAGGAAGATTATTTTACCTTGATGGATTAAGAAATAGTGAAACTATTTTATTTCTCAGCACTGTGTTGTTATTATTATTGGTTACTGAAAGTTTCAGTTAAATGTAATTCTTAATAAATTTTGATGAAACATTTCAGTTTTACTTGTGCTATTATGTATGTCTACTTCTCACTTGTGTTATATAAGAATAAGATAAGAGCATAGTTATCAACATTAAGCTATGAAAAGCCGTGCTATTTTCTGCTGTTTGGCAACAGAATTTCAGACTAAGAAATTTGATCTGAGCTCCCTTTATAATGCACAATTCAAATTATTAAACTATGATAGGATTTTGATATAAAATACATGTGCTTACTATATAATTTATTATTCTAAATTTTAAGCTTCATTTCTGGTCTAATTTCTGTGCACTCTGCAAGTTTCATAAAATTTTTAATGAAAATTCCTGAGTAGGAAAGAAAGGTTTTTTTATTTATTGAAGTT